ATTCATGAACAGTCAAATATTATTCCTATTGAGGTTTCGACGTAGAGGGGGGGCAGTTAAAAAAATATTCCGATTTTTTTCAGACTAACTATTCCATTAGGTTCTCATATTTCATTGTGCAAAAACAAAAAAAACACAAAAAAAATGTTTCCTTACATAACCAGTTCTCTGATTCCTTTATTAAGTCTATAATCTTCATTGTGTATAAAATAAACAAGATAAAATTTGTTATTTGATATGTTTGTTTGTTTGTTCTGTTTTGTTTTTGGATGAGCTAAAAATGTACAGATAACAAAACTGTATTATAGATAATGACTAACAATGGAATCCAATTTGACTCACATTTCGTCCTATTTAGGACTCATCAATTGGATGTACCTACATCTTAGAATTCATGTCCATTCCAGGATGCGAACCTAGTAGCGTTCACTTGAAACGTTATCATATTATTTACTTAGCTAATGAGTCCAGATAATTATCAGCTTATTCAATAGAATGATGCTTAATTCATATTTGTATTGATTGCTTGTGACCTAAGGCAATATCAAGGCAATTCGCTCAAGATGCATATATATATATATATATATCGATAAGAGATTGATCATCAATGGGAAGATTCAAGTAACCAATGCAAATATAACATTTCATTTTGAATTCTGTCTCCAAGGTGATCTGATACAGGAATGTTTAAACTGTGTTAGATTATATATATGATTAGCATATATCGGTAATTACCCTTTATAAGCCATATATATATTGTAATTTAGGACTGCAATCGATCAGTTTCTTGTTGACATATGTGCATCCTGTGCGGATTGCCTTCATATTGCCTTAATTCACAAGCTTTATAAGTAAAGATGGCTAGTGGATAGCAGTAGAGTCGAGGATACACATTTCGTCCTATTTGGGACTCGTCAACTGAATGTACCTGTACCCTAAAGTTAATGTCCATTCCAGGACTCGAATCCAGTAGCATTCGCTTGAAACTTCATTGCGTTATCCACTTAGCTACTGTATATAACTTTAATATCTTAATGACTGACTAGTTGATTGAATAAGTAGAACAATAAATGTCTAACTTTTAAATACATTTTTAAGTGAGAAGATAGTTAACATCATAGACGGGATTTGAACAAACAAACCAAAGAAAAATAAGCGATCATTAATGAACTGTTTTATCCCATCTATGAGACTCCTTGATATTGTGAACTTACAACTGTACCAAGGACTAAACCCAATACTTCCTGGTCAAGTTATAATCTTTATACCTAGTTTTTTTTTCTACTACCACCAATACGGTTACTACTTCTACTACTCTGACATTTCTCATGCTAAGTTCATTTTTCCTTATTGATATACTATGCAACTTGAACTAATGCTCATATTCATCAGGTTCTATGTTGCACAAATTAACATCCAATAATTCACAACAAACTTCACATTCAGTTGAATGTATCTTGTTCAAAGAATCAACGACTTTAATTTCAAGTTAAAACGAGTTTTCACAGTAGACCCTAAAAGTCTAAACGTACAATGCTCAGATACTTTTTTGTTGAATACTATTTTTATGTTGTTGAAGTCGAAAATTATTTCATATATATTTAGCATACACAGTCAAGAGTTCTAGTAAGACTCTGTGACCAGTGGAGCAAGGCCATGTCGGGTAGAGACAAGTATCTAACTCAATACATTGGAAGATGGTCGCACAATTTCGTGGATTGGTTGAGGTTAGACATTAACACAATTGGATCTCGGTCGGCTCAATGGTTTAATAGGTTAGGCGTTCACGCGCGAGACTGAAGGCCCTATGTTGGAATCCCGTGAATGGGGTGATGGATGCGCTCTGTTGAGGAGTCCCACGATAGTACTAAAAGGCCGTCCAGTACGTCCAGGTTTTCAATGGTGGTCTAACATCGGTCGGTTCATGATCTCAATCAAAAACAGTCAAGTGTGTACATAGTTTCTAAGCAAACATGAAATTAACATTATGACCCCATGAATATATATATATATATATATATATATATATATATATATATATATATATTTCAAAATCAATTTACAACCTGATACACATATACGTTAACTTGAGTTGCCATACAACATTCACACAACGAAATGAATGTAAGAATTTGGTGTAGTAAAGATATCAAAATAATGTAACAACAGTGACAATAAGAAAAATCGGTTAATAGAGATTGAATATACGTAGCATATGCTCTGACTACTTCATCAACCTACTTCTTATCCACATCTACTACCCTATACTCAACATCGAAATTACTCGATTCATGTGTTATGACTTTAAGTCGGGCTAGTTATCGCGTAATTTATTTGCTAATCGAAGTATGATTTATTCACTCTTGTACTGTATTAAACCTATGACGTTCGACCGGTCTGATCAACCTAGTGTCCTTATTGGCCCTTTGTTTGCTTAGCCTATCCAGTGGAGTCCAGAACACCAATAACAGCTTCCACTATGTGAATCATTTATTTCAGACATAATGGGTTTATATACCAGCTAAACAAACTGCATCGCATCATAAAATTCGAAATAACATTTATACAATATAAAGCCAAAAGTGGCTGTGAACGTGAGAGACTGTAATCAGTAAACTGAACATAAGAACAGTAAATTGTGCAATAATAGTCTATAGGTCAAAATGAAGCTTATAACAAGGGGAATATAGATATACATAATCTAATTACTGAATAATTATACAATAGGAATATATATCTGATATTAGTCCATTAATAGGTCTCAGACGTTACTCGTAATTTAATCTTAGCTAGGATATAACACCATGATCTACGATAGGATAACTATTTCAGTTAGACAACTAAATTTGTTAACAACCCAGTATTTACTGTTAGTAACGGTTGTGTATTTAAAATATCATTCATCTATCCCTAAAATCTCAATAGAAGCTGTTGTTTGTTTTGTAACATGACATGACTTACTTGCTTACTTACTTACGCCTGTTACTTCCAATGGAGAATAGGCTGCCAACCAATATTCTTCAAACAACTCTGTCTTAGGTCTACCTTTCTAGTTCTATCCAATTGTTGTTCATTCTACTCATATCTGTTTTCATTTCTCGATGTAATGTGTTCTTCAGTCTTCCTGTTCTTTTTTTGGTCTTGAGAATTTCAAGTGAAGATTAACAACATTACTTATTTGGAATTATTATCATCTTAAGATGATATAATCTAGAATTTGATATCAGATGGTGGTTGGAGGTAGTCTATAGGAAGGGATTCCTGTTGACTACCTCCAACCATCATCTAATCTTAATATATAGTGCACGCAGTGTCGAGTCATCTAGACTGGTGGCCACATTGCAACATGGTCGATAGCATTCGATCTGCACTAAATAAGGACTTGGCACACATGATATTGATCACTACCCAGTGATCAATCAATTGTGTGAATTTGATATCATTAACCCTTTAATCTATCAAGAAAACTAAATCATTACAATTTTGATTATTTATTGACTTATATTCAGTGAAACAAAACTATACATTAATATCGAATCCTTTCATTTCGATATTATTCCTGAACAGTCAGAATGATCGATATACATCAGTCAGTCAGTCAGCTACAACGTACGATCAAGCACATATATGTATCGGTCCAAGTTGCCATACCGCATTAGCACAGCAAGATGAACACCGGATTCATAGAAGTAGTTAACTCAGTGGTGATAATATATAAAAGAAAGATTGTATATAAGAATATAATACAGGAAGAAAGAATTAGTTCGTAGAAAGAAAGATATGAAGCGATTCTAATCTCTTAGTTTAAGGGAAGACAGATAGTGTATACACTGACGCTATTGTGATCGATTCTGAACCATGTCACCAAGAGTCTCCAACCATTGGTTACGATTAAATAGCTATAGATGACCAAATAAATACTAAATAGTTCTTTTATCATCTTAGTATGAAACTTGTCAATAATTCACATCAACCATCTCATTACACATAGAATCCAGGACTTTCAAGGTTGATAGTTACATTCAAATAAATGAATTAACATCCAACTGACATGATAATGATTATGTCTAGTGTTATAAGTATTACTAATTCCCATATAAGTAATTTAGGACCTTAGATGATAAAATAAACTGATTTACTTTTAGAATGGGGGGTTTATGGAGATCGTAGTAATTTTAATAGTCGAATTCATGAGTCAATCTAAGGTAGACCACCATAAAAAAAACTTAGATGTCTGTTTCGTCTTAATATGGGACTCGTCAACTGTGCACATCCACAATCATGCACGTGAGACTTAAACAAAGGAACTTCAGTCTCGTGCGCGAATCCTTAACCTCCAGAACACTAAGCCAGCATCCAACAGTGTTAATGTGTAACTTCAATTGATCCATGATCTTTAGCAATCATTCATCCATTGTCTGATTTAGATACTTGTCTCTATCCAACAGGGATTGGACCCTACTGTTCATGGCTTCTCACTAAAACTCCAAGAAACCCATCTTGAAGTCAGTCATTAGTGAACACACAATGACTATGATGAGGATGAAGTTTGTGGAGATTATAATGATTTTAGTAGTTGAATTCATGAGTCTATCTAAGATAATAAGTTCATAAACATCTCAAATAGCCACATGGAAAAAATTATTTAATGGTTCAATTCATGAGTCAATTTAAATTAGACCATCATGGAAAACCTGGAAGTACTGGATGGCCATTTCGTCCTTTTGTAAGACTCTCCATCAGTAATGCGTACCCATAATTCAGCTCTAGGAGATTCGAACCCAAGACCTGTCAATCTTGCACGCGAGCGCTTAACCCCTAAACCACTAAGGCTAAAACTGATCCTATGAGCGGAATTCATATGACTGAATGAAATGATCATTCAATACTTCCAAGTATTCCATTGATGACCTAGCTTCGATTGACTCATGATCTCATCTATTAAAATCATTACTATAATATTCATAAAAATAACCCCTTCTTATATTTAAAAATAAACCTATACTTTAAATGTTTATTTCATTACAATACAAATGACAATATCAACTAGATAATAATCATAATAATTAGATCTTAATCACTATACTACTCATTTTGTTTATTCTAACAAACAGTAATAACCATATTCCATTAGAATTCTATTACCTTCATAGACATGATTCATTAGATCCAAGATCATATTCCATAATTAGATCATTGATTCATTCCATGTTGAAATATCATTCGATTCCTTTCATATTCAATAATCATCAATATCTTCCATATTTATTTATTGATTCATTGAAACATGACAACCACAACCACCACCACCACAACAACAACAACAAAAAGAAACAAAAATGTCAATTCAAATGTTAAAGAGAAAAACAAAGAGAAAAAAGAACAACAATAAAAAAAATCAATAAACAAACAAAATAACTGTACATCAGTTTTTGATTAAGATCATGAACCGATTAATGTTAGACCACCATCTATGGAAACCTGGAAGCACTGGAAGATGATCTAACATCAATTGATTCATGATCTCAATCCAAAAAAAAAACAAAAAACAACTTAATCATCCATAGAATTTTATTGTCCATTTGATATAATTGTCTCTTTATTCATAGTACGTTGATGTTGTTTCATTTCAGTAACACAAAATGTACATACTGATCTATTATTATAACGTTTATTAGGATTAAACATGATTTGAGTTTTATCGATCAAATTTTCATGAATAGGGGTAGTAGTAGTACTACTACTACTAATATCATTATGAGTAGTTTCTAAATGATAAATTTGTTGATGTTTTAAACATGGTTGATCTGCTGGTCCTGAACCAGTGATCAATATAGCATGTAAATGAGATATATAAGATGATGCTAAACGTAATGTTTCAATTTTTGATAATTTTCTATTCATTGGTTCTGTTGGAATTAAATTACGTAACATAAGAAATGCATCATTTACACTAGCTGTACGTGTACGTTCACGTTCATTAGCAACACGTTTTATAGGAGGTTGATATTGTGATAATGAAGTCGAAGATGATGAGGATGATGATATTGGTATATGCTCAATAGTATTATCACTACTACTATTAGTAGTAGTAGTAGTAGTAGTATCATGTATTGTTGAACATTGATTGAAATGATCTGTTAAACAATAAGATAGATTCTTTTGTTTATCATTATAATGTTGTGTATAATTTGTTAATAAATAATTTTGATTACTCCAATTACGTTTACCATATGAATTCACAGACATTTTTATAAATAAGTAGTATCTTCCTTTATTTATGAATTATTCATTCAAATGAAATAGATAGATGGGCTAACTTATAGAATAGTGGCCTATTTTTTCTCTACATTTTATATACAACTTATGACTTGCACATTTACATTGATAGGATAAATAGGATAAGGAATAGATTGTTCACCAATATATGTGATGGTGCACATATATATATATATGTGTGTGTTTAATGCACACAATCATTTTCATTGGTTTAATTGTTACTATGCTGATGCGCTGTTTTTTGTTTTCTTTTGTGGCTCTTACATATTGATGATCGCATGATGTTAACCAATCGGTTGTTTTTTTCATATTCCCTTCTCTCTCTTTTCTTTTTGTATAACAACAATATGTATTTTGTAAATATATTGAAGTACTTAACAAATGAGAGATGGGGGGAAATGTAAATAATGTGGAGATTTACATTCAATAACTGGTTCATTTTATATTGGAGTGAATCGATATCAGTATAGATTATTACAGTTTTTAAATTTGTTAATAGTTGCTTAGATCACAGATTGATCTCTAAACAAGCTTAAAGAACCAGTATAGTACTACACAGCAATATACACCACCATCTAATCTAACAATGGTGCACGCGGTGTCGAGTCATCTAGACTGGTGCCCACATTGCAACATGGTCGATGGCATGCGATCTGCACTAACATTGATCACCACCCAGTGATCAATCAATTGTGGTTACATCTCAGTCCTACAAGAGGTCATTCGCGACCTGGATAGCCCAGTGGTAACGTCTCTGACTGTGAAGCTGGGTGACACGAGATCGAGTCCGTCAGGAAGCACCAGTTCCTTCAAGATTACAGGGACACCTTGCTGACGAGTGTCAAGTAGCACGAAACCCGGATCCAGTGTTTCCTGTCGACTACCTCCAACCACCATCTAACAATCAAGAGGTGTCTGTGTATGACATAAATCTCTCATTGTTGTTGGTAATCAATGATATGGTATTTTTACAATCTTTAAAGGATTAATATCACCTCTAGGAAGAAAGCTAATGTTGTCATCTAATGTTACACTTAGAGATGGTTTGTTCTGTGTTTATTCTTTACTTTATAAAGGAATATATTCCAGTGGTTATAAGCAGAAAAAATTGACTTCTTCAAAACAAAATCATCTGAAAGTGGAGTTTTATGGAATTCTAATGAATATTATTAAAAACAGTTAACAGATTAAGTAAATGGGTTTTGTGAAGATTAGTGAAGATAAGTGACTTTCTTTATAGAACGATTTCATTTTTGGATACCTATAAAAGTCTCATAGCACTGGATTGTTGTTTCCTTCTGCTACAAGATCCCTCAATAGTGAATACCATAAGGTGTTGAACTCTGAATTTTTGTTCCTCGTAATAAACCTGTGATCATTAGAACTACTAAATGGTACAGTTCTAGCCTCACCCAATTTGTACAACAATCATATATTGTCACTAGGGTCAACTGTTTCACTTTCAACATATTCAAACTCCGCTAGTTATGACTCCATAGTGGAACTTCAGGAGTATCTTGAATCAAACCAAATATTGACCTGAGTGTTATGGTTTATTCGAAGGAGTTTTTTTGAAATTCACATAGCCCTGGTTGGACTATGTATGTTACCAAAATTAACGTATCAAGAAATAGTTTACGTCTATAACTGATTACATAAACATACCATTAAACATTTGTTCAATATTCACTTGGTATTGTTTTGATTGAAACTTCCCATTGATGTTTAAGACTACAATTGATCAATCTCTTATTGACACATTTGCATCCTGTGCAGATTGCCTCGATATCGCCTTAATTCACAAGCTTTATAAGCAAAGCTGGATAGTGATTAGTGGTGGAATCCTGTTCGACGCTTGTTTCGCCCTATTTGTGACTCATCAACTGAATGTACCTGCATTTCACAGTTGATGATCATTCTGGAATTCGAACCCAGTACCATTTACTTTGAACGTCATCTTGTCATCCACTCAGCTATTGAATGCCTTGTTCAATATATCCTCATTAAAATTATTCATTCATTCATTCATCAACGAATAGATACCCTTATTTTGGATTTGTTTTTTTGTGTCTTGTCCTAACGATGTAGAACAATCCTATCTTTTAACTATATAGGTCCTGAATTCAAATTCACTCCATTGCACAAGCAAGTGGCTATCAGGACTCAGTAGGTGAGTGAATAACGCGATGGCGTTTGAAGTGAATCGTACTGGGTTCGAGTCCCATAGTGAACATCAAATCTGAGATGCAGGTACATCCAGCTGACCAGTCCCAAATAGGACGAAACGCTCGTTGAACTGGGTTCCACTACTAGCCACTATCCATCATTGCTTACAAATAGCTTGTGAATCAAGGTAATATCGAGGCATACGCACAGTATGCATATATGCCAATAACAAACTGATCAATTGTAGTCTTAAACCTCAATGGGAAGATACAAGCCAAACAATACCAAGTGAGGACATAACCAATGTCTATTAAATAAAACTAGCTAATGTATTGAATCATATATTAGCTTAATGGTGGTTATTAGTGTAGATTTGATATGGGATAGTAACTCAGCGGGCTATTTTAAACACAGTAGGTGATAAACTTCTTTCAACATATAGTCTTTATTGACATTTCCAAGATTTAAAAAAGAAGTACTTCTATTAAGAGACAATTGAACCGTCACGATATATTGAATTGAACCTCAGAATTTCAAGTCTTCTGATGAACATAAAACCTCTTGATAGATGTGTTTTGTATTGAATCGTTAACAGTGTATGAACTACCCTTGTGTTTACAGAAAAAGAATATGCTATAAATCCATGAATAAAGCACTTAAAATTTTATCATGTTAAATTCAGATTGTTTTCTCATCATAGAACTTAGTAACTAAAATGCACTTGTATGTGTGTGCGTGTGTATGTGTGTATGTGTGTGTATTGATCATAGCAACTTATTTATTTTATTTCACACTAAGACACACTTTCCATTCCACAGCTTAGTTACTATACTTTTAATGTCAAAATCAATTTTTGTGAAAATTCTTATCGAGAATTTTTTTTGTAAAAATAAAAATAGGGAGAAGGGAACCGAAAGGGAGGTGGTAATGAAAGACACACACAGCGAGAGAGAGAGAGAGTATACACTAAAACACCACAGGGAGGCAATAAAATTCCATTTTAAACATTTCACTGACTGATTTACGCACGTATACACACAAACAAGCACACACACACACACTCTCTACAACTGATTCTATCTGTTTCACTTAAAGTGGAATGGTGTGAATGTAGTTACACAGATAAATAATGTTGATAATAATGATAATCATCATCATAATTGGTAGGATGCATGTAGAATATCGAAGAAAATGGGATAGAGGAAGGGAAAACTAGTACAACACTAATACAAACTGTAAAAGAATTGATTAATGACCAGTCGTCATTTTCTTCAATGAACCACATTTCATGATAATAAGATGAATTATAATCAATTTTACAGATTTTATGTCTACTTATTTGACATTTACTTCATGAGTGTCTCTCTCGCTTGCTCGCTTGCTCGCTTGCTCGCTTTCTCTATACCTCTCATATCTAATCATTCATTCACTTACTAATACACATACATACATTTATATCCCGTTGTGTGTTTTATTACTTAGTTAGTTAGTTACCTTGCTTAAAGATTTAAATAATAATATTCATGTATCCAAGTAAGAAAATGGAATTTAGTTAATAACTCGGCAACTATATCTGTAACTAGTCAGAATCATCAATTGTCAAACTGTTCTTTAAAAGCAACAACAACAACAACAAGGGAATGAAAACTGTTCAATAAAGACATAAATATTTATGTGACAGACAGTTGGCATTCTATGATAGAATGACTGTGGAGGGGGGGGAGGGAGAGGAAAGATGAAAGTAAGCTGGAAATTTGTAGTATTCACTACTACTTATCAAAGTTAGTATGTTATGTCGGTGTTCAGTCTAAAACAAAAGACTGGCCAGCTTATCTTATATGCTTTTATTAGGTATGTTAAATATGAACCATGGAAGGTAAATCTATATTTAAATTCATTTTGTACTATTTGGTTGAATCTTCCAAATGATTAGTCTGTTATTGGCATATGTACATCCTGTGCAGATTGCCTCAATATTGCCTTAAATCACAAACATTATAAGTAAAGATGTATAGTGGTTAGTAATGGAATGCTGTTTGACGCTTGTTTCGTCCTATTTGAGACTGGTCAACTGGATATAACTTCATCTTACAGTTGATGTTCACTCTGTATTTACAGAATCACATAGAACGGTGATTATTTACAACTACGTGATATGACATAAAGTTCCACTCAGTAGTCCACCAGTAAGGTGCTGGCCTCTCAGACTTATTGTTTAATGAGTCGGGTCTCCAAGAGGATAATAAGTGTACATTGTTGAAGAGTGCTATGCTAGAAAAAAAACTGATGCATAATACCTTCTGATACTTGTTGATTGTTTAACTAAAAAGTTTCCACAAACTTCAATCCGAATAATCATATCTGATATCTGGAGATAAATTTGATTTTAGAATGATATCAGCTAACGAGACTTTGACGAAAATTCTAACAACACTGGACAGTTGTTTACTCTTAGTTTTAAGCTCATTAAAACTAAACACAATCACTACACCACATAGGAATAAATATAATTTACCAAGTGTTGTATCAAGTATTATCTATAACACTGAACATGTATCCAGCAGTTTATGCACTTCGAATCAAAACAAGAATTTGATTCAATAATGAGATCTTTTTTCAATCGACATAATTCTCAGAATTTTTGATTGAGATCATGAATCGACTGATGTTAGACCATCGTTGAAAACGTGCAAGCACTGGATGACAGTTTCGTTCTAGTATGGGACTCCTCAGAATTGCTTATCCACGAAAATTGTGTGAATTACAAATTCTTTATGTTATTATTATGATTATTGTTACCATGACAACAATGACATGGAATTGAAATTTGATTGGAAAAATAAAATGTTCAAGTATTGAGATGATGATGGAGAAGATTTTTAGCTCACTTGGATGATTTTTGATGA